ACTGTGTTAGCCAGGATGGTCTCGATCTCCTGACCTCGTGATCCACCCGTCTCGGCCTCCCAAAGTGCTGGGATTACAGGCTTGAGCCACCGCGCCCGGCCGCACTTTTCACTTATCTAAAAATGTCTATATTTTGCTGTCATTATTGAAGGATAATTTTTCTGGATATAGAATATCGGGTTGTTCTTTGTTTTCTATCAGCACTTTAAAGAGGCTATTCTGTTGCATTTTCTTATCATTGTTGGTCATTTATATTGTTGTTTGCCTGTTTATGATGTGTCATTTTTCTCTGGCTGTTGTCAAGATTTCCTCTTCCTCTTTGGTTTTAGTACACTACGCTGTGTTCCACACTTCTTTGAGGTCTATGATGTGCCTTGTTGTGGTTTTCTTGGCGTTTGCTAAGATTCTCGGATCTGTAACATTATCTTTTCCACTATTTTGGAGAAATTATTATTCATAAGTTCTCCAAATATTTTTTCCTGCTTCCCTTCCCTTCCCTTCCCTTCCCTTCCCTTCCCTTCCCTTCCCTTCCCTCCCCTCCCCTCCCCTCCCCTCCTCCCCCTCCCTCCCTCCCTTCCTCCCTCTCTCTCTCTCTCCACCCCCCACCCCTTCTCTCTACTTCTCTCTTCTCTCTCCTTTTCCCTCTTTCTCTCTCCTGCTTCCTCACTCCCCCCACTCCCTGCTTCTGGGGCTCAATTAAATATATGATAGACAGGTGGGAACTGAACAATGAGATCACTTAGACTCGGGAAGGGAAACATCACACACCAGGGCCTATCACGGGGAGGCGGGACGGGGGAGGGATTGCATTGGGAGTTATACCTGATGTAAATGACGAGTTAATGGGTGCAGCACACCAACATGGCACAAGTATACATATGTAACAAACCTGCACGTTATGCACATGTACCCTAGAACTTAAAGTATAAAATATATATATATATATATATATATATATATGAGATAGACAAATAAATACTGTACCATTGGTCACTGAGGCTGTGTTCACATTCACTTTTTTTCCTAGTCTTTTTTCTCTCTGTTCTTCAGATTGGATCTTTTCTATTGATCTTTCTTCAATTTGATTGATCCTTTCTTTTGATGTCTTCAATGTGCTGTTAAGCCCATTTAATAAATATTTTATTTTAGAAATTACAGTTTTCATCTTAATGTTTTCCATTTGTTCCTTCTTTATATCGTATGTTTCTAATTTGAAATTCTTTATCTTTTTATTCATTATGGCTACATTTTTGTTTTAAGTAGCTTCTTTAAAGTCTTTGTCTGCTATTTAAGAATTTTGATCACTCAGGATTATTCTCTCTTAGGTGTTTTATTGTCATGACTATGGGTCATATTTTCCTATTTCTTTACATGTTTTGTAAATTTTGATTATATGGTAGACATTGTAAATGATATTTCATAGGAACTCTGGAATCTGTTATGCTGTCCTGAAGATTACTGATTTTATTCTGGCAGGCTATTTGTTACCTGTGAACTCTGTCTCTCCTGCAGTGAGCAGTAGAAAAATTTTAGTTCATTTCCCTCAACCTCCCAGCTGTTACCTTCTGCCTGGTTCCTTGGAGTCTCCCCAGTATGTGCAGAATTCAGGGGAGGGGAGCCAATAATTAGGAAGGGGTTTACATGTGGATTTTGGTGTCCCTGTCTCTGAAGTTTTTTCCTTCCTAAGATACTCTCCCTCAGTTTCCATCTGCTCTGGCAGTCCTAAATTCCATTCTTGGATTCATCAAGCCAATAAGATTATGGCTTTCTATTTGAGCTCCAGCCACTCCACAATAAACATACCTGAGACCTTTTCCAGGCCAAAAGCCCTACACACATAAATCACTCCTACTGCAGTTCCCTTCTTTTAAGTGTTGATTCCAAAAATAAAAAATTAAAAAATAATAAAAAAGAAAAAAAGAGTTGATTCCACTTTAATTTCTGCTTTTGGTTGCTCATAACTGCCTTCAAATGATTGTTTTTAATCTTTTCACCATAGTTTATACTTATCATCAGTGGAAAGTTTTATTGTGGTGTTGGCTACTCTACCATTTGGAAGTCTAACCTACCTTTAAATTCGAAGGATGTTTTTCTGGAGTTTAGAATCTTTGTTGGCAGTTACTTCCTTTCATTGGAGTTTTCTACTTAAAATAGTTACCTCTGAGAGGACATCACTGCTGATACTGACCTGCAAGAAGGTGACACAGGGTAGATGGCAGAACCCTGCCATGGGAAGAAAGTGAGGGAGAGCACTGTTGGAAAGGGAGGTGTAAAGACTGAATAAAGGTGGATGTTTTCCCTAATGCTGACCACAGGTAGATTAAATCACCTCCTCAAACTAACAAGGGAAAGGTGAACCAACAGTCACTCTTTCTGGGTCTTTCTACAGCTCTCTGAAGTTAAATGAATTGCTATTCCAAGATCTCAAAGGATTCTAATACCCAGAAGCCCCTCTAGTTTGTCAGTTCTCTTGTTTCGTGTGCTCTGTTCAGTTCTTTGGTCGGGCACTGTCCTGGGTACTGGTAAAGGAGCAGTGAATGTAATAGGCATAGCACTCACCCCTCAAAACCCACAGCTGTGGGAGGAAGGGATGTTAGGCAGACACACCTCCCAAACAAGTTATTGATGACAACCTTGGTGAGCAATGTGAAAGAACGGTACTGGGAGGCAAGAAAGGATCCACAGGGGTCCAAACAGCCTGGAGGGTGGTGTGGGATTAGGGAATCTGTGGGGTGAACACTAAAGCTTTCATACATAATTATGTGCTCAGATGTATGGAGTCAGGGTACAGATATTTTTCTTTGCATTGTGTAGGTAAATATAATAGATTGAAATCTTTAAAATACCATATTAAAATCTGTTCTCATTCTTTATGTGAATTAACTTCTGTAGAAATATTTCAATAGAAGCTGAGACTAACGATGGAACTCTGCTGTAAGCTGGGAAGGAGCCGGTGGTCAGTTAGGGTGGAGGGAGAGGGAGTGGGGCAGCCTCCACATTAAGGGGTCTTTTTGAGAGGCAGGACTCCCCTGGATTCTGTGGGTGCCCAGATACACACTGACAAGGTGCTGTGCCCTGCAGCGGGGGCTGGAGGCTCAGCACTCTAGTGAGTTCATTAGAACCCATGAAGAGGCCGTGCCCGTCCGGATTTCGTTTAAAGAGTAAGTTTTCTTTGACTTGGATTTAGAGCTCTCAGAACTCCAAGAGTAGAAGGGTGGAGAGCAGGTGCTGGTTGAGGGGACACTGAGGTGGCCTGACTTGACCTTGGAGTTCCAGTGAGAAGCACTGTCTTCGTGTGAGGAGCAAAAGGAGGTCTGGGAGGGATGGGCATTTGCCACACTGCCTTTCTAAGTACGGTTTTACATCTGGCGTTTCCTTGAACTTTACTGCGGTTTGGGGAACGCGTGTTCAGAAAGACAAGTTACTTGGCCCAACAGAGCTGATGTTCCATTGTCACAGCTCTGGGGTGTCTCCACCTGGCATGTCACATGAAGGAAACGGTTCTCCACCTGTGCGGCCTGCGGTCTCTGGGCAGACATTCCTCTGCAACCCTGAACATGTTTTCATCAGTCACCTGGCAGTGGTTTGAGCCCATCGGGCGGTGGGGATCCGGAAGCACAGGGGTCAGCTGGGAAGCCGGGTGTTCGTCCCGTGACTGACAATGGCGACTTTGAAGGGAGCCATTTGCTTGGATGACCGGCGCTTACCTGCTGCCAGGCCGTGCCGGGCATGTGTGCTCTGGAAGCCTTTGTGCATAAACAGTAGCACGCGGCAGTGAGGAGTGGGCTGCGGGAACTGACAGCAGGGCTCAGCTTGTGCCTGCTGCATGCCGTGTCCTGGTCTCATTTCATCATAGTATCATCATCTTCCTTTTGCCTATGAGGATACTGAGGCCTGGCACTGGTAGGTGGTGGGTAAAGATGCCACCCCAGAACTGCTTAACATCCAAGTCTTTGCCCCTTTCCTCCACCCCATGTTATGCTCTTATCCGTGTGAAGATGCTTGGGATGTAAAACATGAGTAAGTTCTGAAACCTTCCATGCGACATGAGATCCATTTGTTGTCCCTTGGTCGGTGGGCAACCTTCGCCTCCTTGGAGGCAGAGCCTACTGTAACAGTCAGCTATGGAAGGCATGGACACCATTAGTTCAGTATTCTGTAGCAGGAATATTGACCAATAATCGCGTATTTGATTTCCACGAAGAGTGAGGGATTTTTTTATTCAGGAAGCAGCTGAATTTATAGGGATGAAATGATCATCGTGTCTGGGATGATTTGCTTAGAAATCACCTCCTAGGAGTGGGATGGGGTGTGGGGGTAAAAATGAAGCAAGATTAGCCGTATCTTGAGTTCATTGTATGTTCTTCACATTTTTGTATCTGTTTGAAATTTTTCATTGCATTCGAAAAAAAAGAATCTCAATGTAAATAAATGATGGTACAGTAGTATATCAAAATATTAGGTAGCCATTAAAATAACATGTGAAGAATTTTAATGATGTGGTATAAGTAAGACAATCAGGAAGTCAAGCTTCCTAATATGGTATGTGTGCATGTGGACAAAATATTTGTGTAAAAAATTATTGGAAGGAAATGAAAACATTAACTGTAGTGATCCTTGCTTGGTTGGGTTATGGGTGATTTTCATTCTATTTTCCAAACTTCCTGTAGTAAACAAGAGAAAAAAAATCATTTCTTATAATTTGAGAAAAACTGTTTTGAAAGAAACCTAATCTGCATTGTGTAAATTAGTGAAGCATTTGTTTCAGTGATCTGTTTTCCATTAAATTGCCCCAGTCAGTGATTAAACACTGTTGCGGTTGCTGATCTTGTGGCTGTGGACGTGGTTTTGGCCTGTACTGTGCTGTACTCTGCCCTGGACTGTCTTTGCTGGGGTGTGTGCAGGCCAGATCATGGCAAATGCGGTCACGAACACCGTTTCACTCATGGGTAACTTCTGCTAACCACGTTTCTCTAACGTGAATTTCCATCTAATTTCAGCGAGCTCAACATGATTTCCACAAGGGTGATGGACATTAAGCTTCGGGAGACTGCAGAAGGCCTTGGGGAGGACAGCACAGGTAAGGCCCTGCTTCCCCTGCTCTGGGGAGGGCACTTGCTTTGTTGTGGGGCAGGGAGAGGGGCTGACAGAGGCAGGCCTTTGGGGTTCTCTGTATGAAAAGTAGGGGTTCAGTTCCCAGTGTGCTCAGATACCCCCAGGCCCTTCACACTGTGACTGAGGGCACATGCACATTATTTAAGGCTGCTTGGGGCACATTTCCTCTGCTTCTCTGTCAAGCACAGGGACCTTTTAGCTCATTTTCTTCCTTTCTGGAGGTAACCATGTCCCTGTGTTTGGTTGACATGAATGCAAAGGAAGAGGTACTAAATGGATTCATTCACCATCTAAGAATATCCAAAGGTATCAGTAGGAGGCTGAGCAAAGTACCTGGCAGCCTGATCATCTGTAAAAAAATAATTACATCAGGACTCTTTGATCCCTCTCCTTCATGACTTTTGTTCTGAAGGAGATCTTTACTATGTTCTCTGCTGAGCTGAATTCCAGGCCCATGAATCACCATCTCACAAGACATTCGAAGAGTTCTCCAATCATGTGATTGGTTTACTGTTATCCACATATTGCTATTTATGTCGACAGAGTTGTAAAATTGACATTAAAAAAGTAATCTCCCCACAATGTACCTTTTCCCTAGATTAGCCATTCATATACTCCCCTTATTTTGGTAACCAAGGCCTTCATCTCTCTCTTATTTACATTCAAAATGCCAGTAGCGATCTTCTTTGATACAGTTCAGGAGAAACAGCTCCCAATAATATTAAATCCTAGCTGCTAGCCACTAGCTTCAGATGCTAATATCAGCAAAGGCTCCATTTCAGATATTAAAGATAGATTTTTTTCTTATTATTTCATATTAGAACCATTTTTCCTTTGTCACATTTCAATGGATACCAAATAAATCCAGATTTAACGTGAGGGTTTTTAGATGAGCCCTGAAGAAAAATTGAGTTTCAAATTTTCTCATATTATGGGACACTGAATTATTACTTGTTTTAAACAAGAAACGTTTGAATAAATATTTCATCAGCCTGAAATGACCTCAATAAGTGCTAGTTCTGAATACACACAGAGGTTACTGAAGAAAACGGACTAAGTTTTCCTTTTTTCAAATAGTGAGCTTAAGTTATTCAGACCAATCCTCTTCCACTTAAAATTTAAAATTCTAGATAAGAATATTCTTTAAAATATTTTTCACAGTAAGAAATAATAAAGCCAGAATTGAAAGGCAAATGGGCCAGGCACAGCAGCTTCCATCTGTAATCCCAGCACTCTGGGAGGCCGAGGTGGGAGGATTGCTTGAGCCCAGGAGTTCAAGACCAGCTTGGGCATAGTGAGACTCTGTCTCTACAAAAAAATTTTAAAATGGGCTGGACATGGTGGCACACAGCTGTAGTCCCATCTACTTGGGAGGCTGAGGTGGGAGGATTGTGTGAGCCCAGGAGGTTAATGCTTTAGTGGGCTATGATTACACCACTGCACTCCAGCCTGGGCAACAAGCAAGACCCTGCCTCCAAAAAAAAAAAAAAAAAAAGAAAAGGAAAATGGTAACCTGGAGAGACAACAGAGTATAAAAGCCACTTTTGCCCTTAGATCATTTACCAGTCTTGGAAATTTTCATGTCTTCATGGGGTGGAAGGTGAGAGCAAGGTCAAATATCAAACTACAAGGTCTGTGTAAGGTAGATGGTCTAATAGAAGATGCCCTTTACAATAAAGGGGAGCCAAGGAGCTACCAAATCTGAGTAGGTGTGAAGTAGGGGTAAACCAACCCTTTTGTAGATTTGTAGCTTGAGTTTCCACCATTCGGGTAATTCAGAGAACCTCAACCCTTGAACTTGGTTCATACTGCTTCTAGACTGGATTCAAACCCAGGTACTTTGCAGAAACCAATAATATTCACTAAAGGAAGGCGCCTTCTATTTAGACTTCAAGTTATTACAGAAAACAATATTTTCAGTGTCATGACAACCACATAGTGATAACCAGGCATCAAAGGCAGCAGTATACTATGAATGAGAATGAACATGCTATGTGTTGAATGGTGCTCCCACCAAATGCGTATGTTGAAGTCTCCAGCATCTCCAAATGTGGCTTTGTTTGAAGAACCTTTGTTTGAAGGTTATTGCAGATGTAATTTGTTAAGATGAGAGCATATTGGAGTAGCGTTTCCTTATGAAAAGGGGAACTATGGACGGAGATATGCACACAAGGAGAACGCCATGCACACGTGAAGACAGACAAGAGAAACAGACACATGAAGGCATCAATATCAGAATTACCAAATACATCCTATAAAACAACTATGCATACTATGTTTGAAGATAATAAAAAAGTTTTAAAACATCCAGGGAAAAGTGGCATAGCACCCAGCCAGTGCAATAAAGCAAGAGAAAGGAATAAAAGACAGAGAGATGGAAGAAATAAAACTGTCTCTATTTATAGATGACATGATTATACAACATATACAGAAAAGCACTCAGAACTCTTACACAAATACACCAAGATTGCAGTGCAGTCTTTAAAAGTCAGTTATGGAAGACTGACACACAGTTAGCTCAATATTCTGTAGCAGGAATACTGACAAGTAATAATTTATTTGATTTCCATGAAGAGTCAGAGATTTTTTCATTTAGGAAAAAGCCAAGTCCACATAGATGAAATAATAATAGTGCCTGGGATGATTTTTTTTTTAAATAACCCATCAGAAATGGGGAGGAGGGAGGGGTAAAGAGGAAGCAATCAAAATCCCTGCAGAACTTTTTGCAGATATTGGCAAACTGATTTGAAAATTTGTGTGAAAAAACAAAGAGCTAGAATAGGTAAAAACAATTTTGAAAAAACGTAAAGTTGAAAGCTTCATACTACCTGTTTTTAAGACTTGCTATAAAGCTGCAGTAACCAAGACAGTATGGTATTGGCAAAAGGAAAGACACACAGAGACAGAAGGAAGTAGAGTTCAAAAACAGACCCATACAAATATGGGTAATCAATTTTGACAAAATTGCAAAGGCAATTCATTGGAGAAAAGATAATATTTCAACAAATGGTGCTGGAACAATTGGACATTCATATGTAAATATACCTCACAGATTATACAAAAATTAACTCAAAATGTGTCATAAACCTAAATATAAAACTCTTAACGCCTTTAAAAGAAAGCATAGTAGAAGATATTTATGACCAAGGATTAGGCAAGGATTCTTAGATATAATACCTGAATCCATAAAAGGAAAAAATTTATAAATTGGACTTCATCAAAACTTTAAAATATGCTCTGAGAAAGACACTTTTAAGAAAATGAAAAGACAAGTCACAGACTAGAAGAAAATATTTATAAATCACACTTGATAAAGGACTTATATCCAGCATATATTTGGAACTCTCAAAATTCAAAAATAAGAAAACAAATAACTCAGTTACAAAATGAGGAGCAAATTTTAAATGATGCTTTAACCTAAGAAGATGTGCAGATGGCAAATAAGCATATGAAGAAATCTCAATATCTATAATCATTAGGTAATGCAGAGTAAAACTACAGTGAGATACCAGGACCCACCTATTAAATGTCTGGAGAAAACCACCATAGCAAGAGGAGCTGATAAGGATACACTGAAGGGAGGAATGCAAAATGGCACAGCCACTTTGGAAAAACATTTTGGCAGCTCCTTGTGAAATTAAACATACACTTAGCCTATGACTCGGCAATCCAACTCCTAGGTATTTACTTGGCAGTGGAAACTTATGTTTACACACACACACACACACACACGCACACACACACACACACACGCACAAACTATAGCAACTTATTTATAATTACTAAAAACTGAAAAGAACCCAGATGTCTTTCAGCAGGTTGAAATGGTTCAACAAACTAGTATATTCACACAATGGAGTTCTACTCAGCAATAAAAAGAAATAGACTATTGATTTGGTATAACATGAGTGAGCCTCTAATGTGTTGTGCTGAGTGAAAGAAGCCAGAATGAAAAAGGGACATAGTGTGTGACTTAATCTATATGACATTCTAGAAAAGGCAAAACTATAGGAACAGAAAAGTTATAAGTGGTTGCCAGAGGTTAAAGATAGCGGGGAATGTTGGACTACAAAAGGGCAGCATGAGGACAGTCCTGTATCTTGATTGTGGTGATAATTATACAACTCTATGTACACCAGAAAGAATGAATTTTACTGTGTGTAATTTACAAAATAAGTTTTTTTTTACAAGATGTGGCAGATTTGAAAAACAAAGGAATTTTTAGAAATAAATGTAATGATTAAAATGTTATTTTACATAAATTCATTTAAAATAAATGTAATTATTAAAATTTTATCTTCAATTATATTTATGTAAAATAAATGTAATTATTAAAATGCATGGTTATAACAGCAGATTATATCAGATCAAGATAGATCACAAGAAATTATACAAAATGTACCACAGAATGGTTAAAAGATGGAAAATACACAAAGGGGAACAAGGAGCGTAGAGAGTAAGTGAAAGGGTGTAATATCCATTTGAGCATAGTCTCAAGGGAGGAGAGAAGGACTGAGAATTTTCTGGATTTTATCAAAAAGATGACCCAACCCACAGGTTTAAGAAACCCAATGAATTCCAAGAAGGATAAATCAAAGAAAAATCCACATGAGGTAAAACTGCAGAAAACCAAGGAGGATGAAAAATCTTAAAATGAGTCTGAGAAAAAGAGACAGATTACCTGGACAGGAGCAAAAAAATAACTAATGCCTAACTTCTCAACACAACAGAAGCCACAAAACAGGGAAATAATAGCCTAAATATCCTTAGGAAAAGTAACTGCCAAACTATTATGTTGGCACAAAAGTAATTGCTGTTTTTGCCATTAAATGTCATGGCAAGAGCTGCAATTACTTTTGCACCAGCTTAATAGAATGTTATACCTAGGAAAAATGTATTTCAGGAGTGATGGAGAAATGAAAGCATTTTCGGACAAACAAAAACTGGGTTGGTCCCAGTAAGCCCCCAGTAAACACAGATTCTGCACGAATGTGCCCTCAGGCCAAAGGAAAATCTTCCTAGTGCACAATCTGGAGTATGAGAAGCAATGAAGAACAAAGAAAACAATAAGCAAGTGGATACATCTATGTGAACATGAAATAACTTCGGGTTTTTTTTTAAACAATCATTTTTGGCACTATTGTTTTAAGAATTAAAACAATAGTGCCAAAAATGGAATTGAAGTATTCTAAGGTCCTTGTATTGACCTGTAATCAAATGTGTAGTATAATTTCTAGGGTAACCACTGAAAGAGGAAGCAAAAGATAAGGGTTATAAACTAGCAATGGAAGAAATGGAATTTTTTTTTTTTTGAAGATCAATGAAAAAACACATAAGATGATAGATTTGTTTTTATTAATATATCAGTAATTACAGTGAGTGTGAGTGGACTAGTTAGATTAATTAATTACATTAATTGTTCCATTTAAGAGTTAAAGATTATCAGATTAGATTCCAAAACTCTAAATGTATGAGTCTTAACTATAAAGGTTCAGAAAAGTAAGGATAGTAATAGGATACAAAAACCTGTACCTCGTGAGCGCTGGGTAGAGGAAGATGGTGTAGCTATACAGGTTGAATATCCCTTATCCAAAATGTTGGGATCAGGAGTGTTTCAGATTTCAGATTTTTTCAGATTTTGGAATACTTGCATTATACGTACCAGTTGAGTGTCTCAAATTTGAAAATCCAAAGTCTGAAATGCTCCAGTGAGCATTTCCTTTAAGCATCGGGTGGGAGCTCAAAAAGTTTCAGATTTTGCGGCATTTCAGATTTTCCGATTTGGTATAATCTACCTGTACTAAGAGCAGTCAAAATGAAATGTAAGGCAAAAAACATAACTAAACATAAAGAGGGCCTTTTCACAAAATGTTCAGTTCCTCAGCAAGAAAATAATTTTACATTTCTATGCATTAACGTATTATAGAAAGTTGTAAGTATTACAGCTCTTTTAGAATTTGTCTAGCAGGCTTTCCGGTTTTTGCAGGAAAGCAACCTCCCCAACAAATAAAGTTGTAAAGTAGAAACTGACAACTAAAGATAAATAAGAAAATCTGTCATCAGAGTGGGGTTATTTTTAACACATCTCTCTCAGTAATTGCTAAAACAAACATTTTAAAAGTCAGTAAAGATATAAAATACTTGGACAACACAATTTTTTAAGAGAGATCTTCTAATTGACATATATAGAACACTGAAGAAAAAGCATTATTTTCAAGCACACCAAGAACATTTTAAAAAATTGTTCATGTGGTAAGCCATAAAGCAAGTATCAACCGATTTGAATGGGTTCAAATCGTTCAGAGTATGTTACTGGACCACAGTGCAATTAATTGAGCTAGAAATCAATAACTAATTAGCTAGAAATCAATAACAATAATTATTAGAAATAATAATTAAGCTAGAAATAATTAATTAAGCTAGAAAATCCTCAACTGCTTGGAAATGAAGAAGACATACTTTCCTAAATAACCCACAAGTCTAAGAAGGTATCATAATAGAAGTTAGAAAATATTTTTGACCAAACAATAATGAAAATACTACGTTCTAAAATATGTAGATGCAGCTAAAACAGACTTAGAGGGAAAGGCATTGCCTTAAATATTATATTATAAAAGCAGGAAAGTCTAAAAAGTAATAAATCAAATGTTTATCTCAAGAAGTTTAAGAAAATAGTAAAGTAAACCTGCAGAAAGTAGGAAGGAAGGAATAAAGATAAGAACAGAAATTAATACAATATGAAATAGACATTCAACTGAAAGAATTAACAAAGCTAAACTTTTTTAAGGCAATTAAAATTGGTCAGCCTCTGGTGCCATTGATCAAGGAACAAAGAAGAGGCACATTTATGATAATTCATATCAGGGTAAGAAAAGAGGCATCAGTCACTATAGATGTTGTGAATGCTTGAAAGATATAAGGATATTATTAATAATTTTTGGCCAATACATTTGAGAATTTGGAAAAAAAATACATTTTCAGAAAAATGTTACTAAAAAAACAGATTCAAGAAGTAGAAAACTGGACTAGTCCTGTAACCGTTAAAGAAATTGAACTACAAAGACTAGCAGAAGAAATATAACTTGAACAAATGGATGGCTGACTCAACCCTGCCAGTGGAACAAAGGTGTACAGCAGTTATACTTGAGGTCTACCAGTTATACATGAGGACACCATTAATGCAGCACCTTTGATGGTTGTGATATTGAGGTTGTGTATCTATTCAGGCCTTCAAGGATGCGTTCCAATTTGTTGACTAGGCAAAAGCCACAGGGTGTCCTGATGAAATGCAGAAAACTCTTAAGAGTCTTTCAAAATAATAAATGCTCACTGAGAACCATCTACTAACAACATAAACATTTTCTACGATTGTAAAGTTGAGAACACTTCCACACTAGGAGTTGAGAAAACTGTGCCGTAGAACTGATTTATCCTTGGAGAGTGATTTGTTCTACCTGTAATGATGTAGGAACTCCTACTAAAGTAATCCTAAGGAATTCTCCCCATGAGAGTAAGATCATGTAAACTTCCCAAGGAGACAGTAATATAAACACAACAGAAAGATCCTGGGTTTTTTAAGGAATTCAGTTTATTAAATTATTATAAAATCTAATGAATTGTTTTGCAAATTTTCAGGAGGTATTAGACAGCATCCTGGTAATCTACGATGCTACATCCCTCCACTGTCAGTTCTGTAACTATTCTGGAAAAGGAATGAACTTTGCTGAGCAGCTAATGTGAAATCATGGAAACCTGGGTATGATAGAATTTGTGGGAGAGAATGAAGTTGTCACCAGAGAAGCGATCACAAAATGTTGAAAAGTGTGGTGAATTCTAATAATCCAGGAAGCATGGCAGAGTTGGGCTCAGCCTGGCCACACCCCTCCCCTTTGGAGATGACCAGTCTCATTATTTTTCTCACCAAAGTCATTAGCTCATCATACAGTTGGTGCCCTAGAGAGCCACCTTCTTGCCCATGAGGTTGGGCCTCCTCTGTCCTTGATGCTGTATTCACACTAGACAAAGCATTTCAGAATTTTAAATATTTTTTTGAGAGAGAGGGTCTTGCTCCATCACTAAGGCTAGAGTGCAGTGGTGCGGTCATAGCTCACTGCAGCCTCAAACTCCTGGGCTCAAGCAAACCTCCTACTTTAGCTTCCCTAGTAGCTGGGACTACAGGCATGTGCCACCATGCCCAACTTTTTTGTTTTTGTTTTTGTCTTTTTTTGTAGTAAGAAGGTCTCACTATGTTGCCCAGGCTGGTCTTGAACTCCTGAGCTCAAGCAAACCTCCTGCCTCAGCCTCTCAAAGTGCTGGGATTACAGGTTGTGAGCCACCATGCCTGGCCAAGAATTATTTTCTAAATAGCTTGGGTTATCCCGTAACCTTTACCTCCTCAGGACTTTTGTAGTTGACTTACATATATTTTAGAAATTAGAACTTGGTTATAGATGAGAAGAAAGTGGCTAATTTTGATTCTGTGATCATCTTCCAAAGTGTTCTTGGCTCTTTTACTTAAATATCCTAAATAAAAGAAAACAAGATGTGTTTTCAGGTGTGCAAAACTGGTATACCATGTACTTCTGCACCGTAAAAGGACTTTCCAGAAGCAGATAACTGATGCATGGATGGAAATCTTGCTTTCTCTCTTTTACGTGCCCATTGCATACATGCACATGAACACATACTCTAACACTCTTACTTATTATTACTAATCATTTGCTTTTTTCTCTCATCTGTATAGGAAAGAAAAAATCTAAATTCAAAACTTTTAAGAAGTTTTTTGGGAAGAAGAAGAGAAAAGAATCGCCGTCGTCCACAGAAAGTAGCACCTGGAAACAGAGTCAGACGAGGAATGAGGTCATTGCCATCGAGTCTGGGCCAGTGGGCTACGACTCCGAGGATGAGCTGGAGTAAGTTGCATTTTACATCTCTCGGGCCAGGAGCACCCAAATACACTATTTCATTATCCTGGTGACTTGCTGGATTTCTGAGCCCCCTTTCCTCCTGGGTAATTCCATTAGAGGTTCTTCCCTAGACGTTGTGTTTTCTGTCTTTTCAAACTTAGGGGTGGAGAACGCTGTGTGTGTTTAAGTCCACAAACTGTGGGAGACGAGGTACTGTATGCCGTTTTCTAAACGGACAAAATAAGCCCTAGATAAAATTTGGAACTTGCCCAGCATCCTACAGCTGAAAGTGACAGGATCGGGATAGGGTCCCTGGCTCAACTTGACTTAAAACTCTTTTGAGGACTAGATACTATACTAGAAAAATACATTTCTCTAAACTTGAACGTTGAATAATCTAATCAGAATATTTTCACTTGATGGCGGTGGGGAGGGGGTGCTTCTTGCTTTCTTAGAAAAAATCATCCAAAAATATCATTAAGAACAGACCCAATAAGCACAAAAAAACTAGGGAGGTCTAGTAAAGAAATCCTTATTTTTGTAACTTGTATTTCATTAAAATATACTTACAGTACATACGCTGCAGTTATTCTAGCAGTTATTTCTGTGACTAAGAGGAAACGAAACAGATTTGTTGCTACGCTAGCTTTTACCTTTTTTTTTTTAAGACAACACTGGGCCTGCTAAGCTTTCCACATTTGGAGGGATGGGGAACGGGTCAGAGATGAGACCATGCTACACTGAAACCTCTTAAAAAAAAAAAAACTAGCGGCGGGGGGCGCCTGTAGTCCACTACTCGGGAGGGGGGGGGGGGGGGGGGGGAGGAGCTGAGATGGCACTCCATGGCGGCAAGCGAGATCCGTCAAAAAAAAAAAAAAAAAAAAAAAAAAAAAACTCTTAAAAACAAAAACATAATATCCCTCAGGTTTGGGGTACAGACCACGCCGAGATGGGTTCCAGGCTTGAGCATCCGGATAATGGTGTCCTGTCCCCTCCCCTGCTCTCCCCTCCTCCCCAGCTTCCTCGCCTGTGTTTTAAAGGAGTAGAAACGTTACTGGCCACTTGGTGGCGCCAGATGACTGGAAAGGAAAGATTGGAACTTTTTTTTTTTTTTTTTTTTTCCAGTTTTGGGTTTGTTTTTTGGTTTTGTTTGTTTTTGGTGCTAGCAGGGATTGTAATAGACTCACATCGCACCGTGTGAAGTGTGGAAGGGATACACTGTGCTTGCATTTTTTATTTTTTATTTTTATTTTTATTTTTATTGAGACGGAGTCTCGCTCTGTCGCCCAGGCTGGAGTCCAGTGGCCTGAACTCGGCTCACTGCAACCTCCTCCTCCCGGGTTCACGCCATTCTCCTGCCTCAGCCTCCCGAGCAGCTGGAACTACAGGCGCCGCCACCACGCCCGGCTAATTTTTTGTATTTTTAGTAGAGACGGGGTTTCACCGTGTTAGCCAGGATGGTCTCGATCTCCTGACCTCGTGATCCGCCCACCCTGGCCTCCCAAAGTGCTGGGATTACAGGCATGAGCCACCGCGCCCAGCCGTGCATGCACTTTTTTAGGCGGTGCTCTGAACTCTTGGGGAACGAGATGTTATCACCGATAATATTGCTAATTATTCAATGTCATCACTTTGCAAGCCCCAGGGAAACTAACATCCACCCCCATCCACCCCGTCTGTTGACTGGAGCACACAGTTCTGGTGTTGGAGAGACAGGCCTGGGTGTGGCCCCTCTAACCACAGATGGGAGCCCAGCCAGAGGGGCAAGCTGGGATGAATTGTCCTGCCCACTTGCTGATGTCCTCCCTGCCACCGGGGTCCAGGGAAAGTGGAGACGGTGTGCTTTTTATCTTGATATTCCTAGCACCTTGCAGGGAGCTGGTGCTCAGTGACTGCTAACAGTTTGCTGGTTTTGATGCTAGGCAAGGAAGATTGGGGGTGGGGCATGAGGAGGCCTGGGAAGTGCAAATGACATTTTTAGACAGCAGCACAGAGGAAGAGGAAGGTACTGTTTGGTCTGTGGGAGAGTCTGCAGCAACTTCTCATCCATCACTGGGGGGAAAACAGCTCCATTTACTGAGGCACATTAGTGCGAGCAAACCACGTGGGACCCTGTGGGTTGAAGAAAGTGACGCCCATTCATCGCGTCTGTGTCTGTGCGGTTGTGCTTCTTAAATCTGTAACGATTTCCTTTTGCCCTCTCCCTTTGTTTCATGTCATTGATCTGAAGGCAAAGCAGGGCCACGTGTCCTGCAGAATGTCCCCTATTCTGGCTTTGCTTTCTCTTGGTGTGATTCAGCTCTTTCCTATATTCTCCCAATTCCCGGTACATCATTCGGTGGATCCAGATGCTGTCAGGTTCAAGCAGGTGCTGGATGTTGTCACATCCCGGGATGAGTCACATGCTTTCTGAGCAGTGGGTTCAGGGTGTGTCATTGTGGTCCCTCCACCAGCCTTCACCTGACAGTTTTAACACTTGGTGATGATTTGTTATTTTGTCACAAAGTGGTGGTTTTTCTAATTCTGTCATTCATTGTACACTTGCTAACCGAAAATCCTTGATGAAGAACTTTCCTCCATCAATTGCTTGGTTGCTCTGAAATACAATCTAGAGGAAAGTCAAGATCATGCTTGGCTCTCCTTTCATTGATCCACCCTCAGAGTAATGACGTGGTCCCCTGGCAACTCCTGACAGTGGCCAGTGGGTTTTGTTTTTTCTTTTTTTTCCCAGATATCATTGGAATGCATTACTTTTTATATATTTGATTTGCTTTTTAATCCATGACAGTCTTTGTTCATGTAATGCTCAAGTTGTTCCATCTTAGGCTGTTGAGAGTCACTTGAAATTCGCTCTGTCTTTTGACATGACCCCATTCATCTTTGATGGCTTCCTTACTTTCTTGTCCAATGAGAAATCTCAGGTTTATTTAGTGTATTTTCTTCCCCTGACCTGGAATCAGCACTTTCTTCACAGGGCCCTGGCCCCCTCCTTGTGGTGTGAAATGGCTTTTAAAGACCTCAGTCTAGCTGCCAGGGGTGATAATTACTAATTGGCTGTCACTGATTCTAAACCTGTCCAGTGGATATAGCTAGGAAATGGTTTACTTTTCAAGAGAAAAATTCATCATCAATTTGCTGATATTTCCAATTCAAGTTTAGTAAGACATTTTTCCTTCTTTAATTCTTTGTATTCTCTTTTCTCTTACACTGGAAACCAGGGCTCCTTATGATATTAATGAAATGACTTATTTTCTTTAACCTATCATATACTCATAATAATTTCCTTATCCCTTTCCTACATGGAAGTTAAAGATACTATAAATACTTTTCTGCACACTGTCTTATAATCAGTGTTATTGCTAATAAAACTGTAGAGTGCAATTCAATATTTTTGGTTTTTTAATTATTATTACTACTCATACGATTAGTGAGTGCAATTTGTTGTCTTTGGTTTTCTTGTTGTTTTTCTTAGAATGTATTCTATCTTGGATGTGGAGTCAAAGTCACTTGAAATTATTATATTCTCTGTGTGGTCATGCCAACAATCTGATATAAAATTAGATTTGTTTGTTTGTGTTTGTTTTCTAGTTTTAGTGATTTTTTTTTTTTTTTTTTGAGACGGAGTCTCGCTCTGTCGCCCAGGCTGGAGTGCAGTGGCCGGATCTCAGCTCACTGCAAGCTCCGCCTCCCGGGTTTACGCCATTCTCCTGCCTCAGCCTCCCGAGTAGCTGGGACTACAGGCACCCGCCACCTCACCAGGCTAGTTTTTTGTATTTTTTTTTTTAGTAGAGACAGAGTTTCACCGTGTTAGCCAGGATGGTCTCGATCTCCTGACCTCGTGATCCGCCCGTCTCGGCCTCCCTCCCAAAGTGCTGGGATTACAGGCTTGAGCCACCGCGCCCGACCTTTTTAGTGATTTTTTAATTTCTCATTTTGCTTGGTTTCGTCTTTTAATTATATAAAACGTTTACATAGTTTCAAAGACAAAGTTGTAAATGTAGGTATCTTTGCACTATGTCTCCTCATCTAGTTATTTCTTTCCCCCTAAAGGAAACCACTTTTATTTACTTGTTATTTCTTCTTCTGTTTTCATTTTTTTAAATATAAGAAACACACACACATGTTCAGATAATATCCAGGCCCCCCTTTCCTATGCAGTGCTGACATACTGTGGACCTTGTTCTGCAGTGGTTGTTATTTATTTCACTTAGTAGTATCTGGTGATGCCTGTATGCAGCGTGTGGAGACCCTCCTGCCCATCAGACCAGCTGTGGAGTCCTCCATTGTATGACATTCATGGTTGATTCAGTTAGATGCCTACTGAGGGGCACTGGGCGTTTCCCGTCTTTCAGTCTTCTGAATATTGCTGTAGTGAATGGCCTTGCACATGTGCCATTTTGTGTTTTTGCAGAGGCCTCTTCATGCTGCCTCCACTCCTCGTTACATCCAAAACGGAGGTGCTTGGGTGGTGGTTGTGGTTCCCAGAGAGTGTGGGCCATGGGCTGTCCCCTGGGGAGGGGAAATCCAAGTGTGTGTGCGACCTTTGGGTTAAGAGCTGCCCTGGGCAGGGAGGGCCCGATTCCTTCAGTTGGTGTGGTTCCCTCCCTGGCATGTGAGGACACGCACATCCTGGGAGCCATGGGTTCCCACTTGCAAGCTTACGGTTGCAGGCATGAGAGTTTAATGAGAAGGAAGCTTTATTAACCAACACAGTTTGGTTGACAGTGGGACAGGGCCACACCTCAGAGTCCTTAATGCCCCACGGTGGACAGGATGCCCGGGGTAGGGGAGTGGCAGGAGGGGAGGACGTGGGGTGGTGCACATGAGATGTCCAGTGTGTGCAGAGGTAGGCTTTCCTTCCTTCATCACTGGGTCTCAGTCATCTCCTTCCACCTATTGTTCAGGCAGCCAGCGCTGCCAGGAAAATTTGACAGCTAATTCCCACATCCTTTTAGGACATTTTGTGAATGTCCTGTGGGTTCAGTCCCAGATCAGATTCTTGAGCTCCGAGCTGAGGAAAGGACTGGGATGGCGACGACAGAAGGCCACCATCTCTGCTCCAGGATCTAGGCAGGCACAGAGGTTTTGGTCACACGGATGGTGCCAGGTCATAAAAAGAGGCCACGGCTTTGCAGATTAGTAGTTCTCATTTCAAACCAGCCACGGATGTCTTGGTTTGTCTTGTGAGGATGCGTTCATCAGGTAGGCCCTCAGCCTGCTGCACACATACAGCCTTCAGCCCATGGAGGGGCTGCGTGTTTGCCCACAAGGCGGGACCTCACCCTCCCCGGGGCAGCCGCGACATCCTCAGAAGCTGGCCGTGCCAGCCCCTCCCCTCTGCAGGCTTGCTGTCTTGCACCTCACACCTTGTCAAACCTTGGTTTTTTCATTAATAAAAATAATTCACGCAACCTTTAGATCTCCTAGGAAGATTCCTATCTCTGCAATGCTCCAAATAGTTGACAGTGTGTGGATGAACTGAAGTCAGGGACCCCTGAAATGTAAATGCAGCAGAGGGAGTGTCGTTTGATATTCTGTTAACCCACATCCCCCTTTCTCATTCTGAGTCCCCCGGGGGTCAGTAAGATGGAGGTGGGCAGAGTCTCACAGTGGCTCTTTTATCCTAGGGAGTCGAGGGGCACGCTGGGCAGCCGGGCCCTTTCTCACGACAGTATTTTCATTCCTGAGTCCGGACAGGACCCTACTCGGCCTGTGCGGGTGTTTTCCCAAGAAAATGTGTGTGATCGGATTAAAGCACTGCAGGTAAATGTTTCCTTGGTCATGTCACCTGGTGTGCAAGTCAAGTATCCACTGAGAAGTTTTTAAATGATTTCCGCTTGGTTTATTTGATATGCCGTAAAGTAGAATCACATGTACATGACAGCTCTCCCAGGAGACACCAAATGAGTTACAGTGGGATCTCAACTCATTCTTAGATGAACAAAGAAGAGATGGCAGTGGAAGAGCTGGTGGCAGATGCACGTTCAGTTCTCTGCACCACGCCAAGGCACTGAAGGCATTTCTAGCATGAATGAGTTAGAGCAGGAGGATCTGTTGATAAATATCATTGATGAAAATAAGAGCACATGTTCTTTATTCCAATCTAGTTAAAAATACAGTGTAATGTGAAAATGGGGCCACCACCTCCTCCAGGGGGGCTTCCTGCCAAGCGCGGAGAGGATGCTGGCATGAGCTCTGAGGATGATGGGCTGCCCAGGAGCCCCCCAGAGATGTCCCTGCTGCACGACGTGGGTCCCGGCACCACCATAAAGGCAAGTACGGCCTGAGCCACTGCACGTCTCCGTCCACACTTGCCCTGGAGGGCGCTGGAGCTCTGGGATCCCCTGTGTGTGCCCTTGAAATTTCCATGGATAGGTGAGGCTGTGCATGGTTTGTGGCCGACTGGGTCACTGGAGCCTACAGTCAGCCCTTGAGCTGTGTTTATTTTCGTTCTTTGAGTAGAAATTCAGGTCTGGTTAGGAGACGTGGTTTTGGTGACATTTGTTATGAGGGTGATAGGTTGATAGAATCAACCCAGAATCAACCCTGTGCCTTGACTTTCCTGTCTGAGCAGATGACCAGACCCAGAACCCCATTAGAAGTAGGGAAATACGTTGTGTCTGTTTTCTGTTGCCACGACATTTGGCCGGCGGGAGGGGCAAGTAGTGAGCACGTGATAGTCGAGGCTCTGATGGTTTCTGGTGCCTGAGTCTGTGACCTGAAGGCGGTGTCAGCATAGGGGTAGTCATGTGCTGTGTTGCTGGCAAACAGGGCAGCAGGGAAAGGTTGACAAGCAAGAGAGGAACTGATGACCTCAGCAGGGTGGAGGAACCAGTCCCAAACACCACCTTTCCCATTAGAATCCAAGAGGGGGTCCCCGAGGAACTGAGCTCTTTCTCGCGCGTAAACAACACAGCTCGCGGTGCTGCCACATTTTAAACTATGTTATTGTGGTAAGAGCACTTAATGCCCATACACTGTACTTGCACATAAATGTTAAAAATAGGTGGTCATCGTTCCCATGTAGACAAGCCTGACTGTGGAGGATGGATAGAGTTGGAGTTATCTGTTAACGCTGACACCTGAAAAACAAATCAAGGCCAGAGTTATTTTTATAGCCACACACCTGCCCCTGTCACCTCTGGCCTGCTTGAGGGGCCATTCACAGTGAAGGGGGGCTTCGTTGTGACCCATTGCCTTGCAGATTCTGTGCTTCTCTGAATTCTGTTCAGTAGCCACTTCAATGTTGACACCTATAAACCCTGTCACACCAGATTTTTGTGTAGTTGTGAGTTCCCAGAACATCACTGATGAAAAAGGCAGAAGGACTGTGGTGTGGCTGAGTGTGTGGGGTGGGGACTGACATGAAGTCGGCTACAGAATTATTCTCTCCAGAATTCTGCTCCAGGGCGAAGCTGTCCCTGCTCCTGGAATGAGCAGGGTCTGAGGACTGTGGGCTACCCAGGCCTTCTCTCCAGCCTTGAGCAGAAGGGAGAAAGGATGAGGAGGATGGTGTGGCCTATTTCGTAGACTTCACCAAGCCAACCCTGTACCCCTTTAACACCTCCAGATACTCCTGTGTGCAGTTTCAGCGTCCCCTTCTCAGGAGCAGATGTGACTTTGTGCATTTCTGAGCTCTGCAGTAGGAAGAGGTCTGTCGTGAGCTGCCTCGTTCCTCATCATAGATGGACTCCCCCTCCTCCCATCCCACAGGTCTCCGACTCTCACAGCATCCCAGTTCTCTGCCTTTAGCCAGGGTGGGCAGTAAGAGGAGAGGTAGTGAGGAACCCATCCATTGAAAAGCAAGCCTATCTCCAAACCTGTGTGACAGCATGAGGCACAAATTCCACAGCTGGCTTGGCTGGGCCAGCCTGACCTTATCTGTCACAGCACAACCACCTCCTGTGGTTGGTCCTTTATTTAAAAAAAAAAAAAAAAAAGCTTTGAGATTTTATCAATTATTGGGTAATATGGACAATCTACTAGCTTCACAGGAAACCAAAATTTGAGCCTTTAAGACTTAAAAACAAAAAGGTAATCTTAAGTGTCTTCATCGTTTTGAAGACACAATGATTGCATTTAGAGGCCTGAAAGTTTTTACGCATAATTGGTTGACTGAGAGGGAAAAACAACAGACCCTTTAAAATGGGCTTGTAGAATATGTGGTGTTTGATATAACGGTGCCTAAAGCCCCAAAACGATGGGCTGCAGGCTGTTTACACCTTACACAGGCCCACATGCTTACACACAGGCCCACACAGACAGAAAAATTTAAGATTATTATGGAAAAAAGAGTCTTCAGTAGCAAGTATTTGATGTTATAACCAAGGTGACATTTCCTGATAGAATAAGGTTTTCAGGAAATATATGGAATAATTTTTTCAAATTTTATTACCGAGTGTGATAACAACTGATGAAAGTTTTACCTGGTGGTTTTTAAGATAACATGGTGTCTCACTGGTCCTATTCTAGGTGTCCTGCTATGAAGCAGGACATGCCAGGTAGAGTGTGATAAACCGGCAAGGCGACTGAGTCATCTTACTCCTGGTGATGCGGGAAGGGAAGATGAGGAGGGAACACAGACCTGGTGTCAAATGAACAAATACGTGCCCCACAGCTCCAGAGGGAGGCCTCAGGCAGGCTTATCGCCTCTTAGAATCTCTGTCCTCAGAGGGTTTTGGCTCAGAGGGTTTTGGGGGGACAAGATGAGATTGGGTAGATCAGTACCTCTCCTTCCCAGCAGGACCAGCAGCTTCTTTTCACCCCTGGAACAGCCAGGCCCCCCTGCTTCCTGTCCAGTGGCCCTTCCTGCATGCACTGCCCCTGGCCCACTCCTCAGTGGCTGAGCCCCTCTTTTTGAGGACACACATCCTAAAGCACCTGTCACTCAGGGCCGCCCATGAAAAGCTTCTGACCCCAGGCTGTTTCCTCTGGGTCCTTTGGGCTGCCTTCCCTGCAACAAAGAGCCACATGCTAGACTTTTAAACCCTCTGCTTTCAGAATCATCCAGAAGCAGAGATTTCAGGAAACACTGGGTGACTGGAAGCAAGCCATGCAGAGGTCAATGTTCTGGATGCTGCCAGCCCACTCATGAAGCCAGCTTCCCAGCCCTCACCTCCTCCGCACGGGCGCCAGCCCACCTCACGTAGTTACATCACTGATCAACAACAGGCACGATTCTCCTTGGGGTCTTTCCGGACCCCAAGATCTCTCAGAGCAACCGTGGAAACAGAAGTGAGAGTTCTGAAGCCAGAGGAGTTGAGTTCTTTAGTCAGGGAGAGCTTGTACCTGGGACACAGGTCAGGGAAGTTAAGCTCCATGCCAAGGTCCCCTAACCCAGGGGCCAGAGTGGGTCTGAACCCAAGACATCTGCCCACGCAGGACAGACACAGGGTGGCCCACAGGGAGGAGAGCCTGCTCTGCATCCTTCGGAGCCTTCAGGGTATTGGGCTTTATTCTATAAAGAGGAACCATCCGGGGTATTATTGTCACAGGCACCGTGATCATTCTCACTGCACTTGCAAAGCGGCTCCTCTCGTCTATTCTCATGAGTCCTAGGCAGTGAGATTTTCTTTTTAACCAAATGTTTATACATTGTTCCTCTAGACAAGGGTAAATATTACAGACTCTGTACGATTAATTTTAAATGTACACATCCTGTTGGTGACCTTTAAGGAAGGCTCTCTGGGAAAGGTATCAATTTCCCAATCTAAGGTGACTTCCTGAGTTGTCAGTGACCACAGTGAGAGCCAGAGCCACAGGCACAGATGTAGTTGTGATCAGGAGACTTGTGACTTATTTTTAACATAATTTTTCTTGCCTTATTCCCATAAGTACCTGAGTAGCTAAAAGAGAATTCAAGTAGATTATGACCACTTTTAGCCTCTTCTCCCCCATTTTAGTAATTATCTCCTCCTCGTTTATACAGATAAACTTACACTTTTATTAATAGGAGAGAGCTTCACGTGAACAGGGAGAGGTTGTTCCTCCTGTATCGGAGCCCATCTCTCCAGTATGATCATCCTTATGGTTCCCTGTCCGGGTTAGCAAAGGCTGCTGGGCACCTGCTCTGTGTGGGGGTCCCAGGGTTATGGAAAAGAAACAGCAGATGTGCCCATGGCCCTAGGAGTTTGCCACTGGGGACGGCACTGGTGTGTTGTCTCACTGCTTCATTCACTGTTTTCATGAGGGCTTACTGAATCGTTGTGTGAATAAAATTCTAAAGTTAAATGGAAACTTGACACTAATATTGCACACTGTGCTTGAATACAAAGCTTGTTTGAAGATCACAGAGTTATGTGAAAAGCCTGCCACCTCCCATAGTCTCCCTGTGCACCTCGCCCCTCATCTGGGCTGCATGTGCTCACAGGCGCTCCAAGTTGTATGCCAACTCGTGTCCACAGGGGAGCAAACTTCGACCTCACTCAGTGGTGGAGCTGGCCAAGTTCGGGGGGCAGGGATCTGTGGGTATTGCCCTCATTCTTCCACATGGCTGTCAGCATCCCTTTGTCCCAGGCGACATGTTTGCTATTTGCTATCAGTTCTTCCGTGCTGAAGTATAAATGAGTAAAATACCTGTAACTTAACAGATGGCTGTTTCCAGCCAGATTTCTTCAAAAGGACACATGAGCACACAGAGATCTTCTAGGTTGAACCAACAGGGCTCCAGTGACGGAATGCTGGGTGGTGGGCTTGGCACTTTCTGCGCCCCTGCTTCTAAAATCACACCTCTGAACCTTCCTCTCAGCTTCCAGAGACAGGACCAGGTGACTGTGCCCTTGGACAAATCGGGCTGGTGTGTTTTGACAGAGAAAGCTCTTGTCTGAAGTGCCTGTGCCAGCTGCCACAGAAGAGTGACACGGGAGCCTGAGACACAGGTTCTCTGCATGGTCTTGGGAAGGAGTGGCAGGTTTCCAGGAGCTGGCCCTGTACTTTAAACTCCCAGCCATTTACCTTTCTCCAGGAGGATCCTAGACCCCTCCTTGTTGAGAATCAAATTGAAAGTATTGGCCGGACGTGGTGACTCATGCCTGTAATCACAGCACTTTGGGAGGCCGAGGCGGGTGGATCACCAGGTCAGGAGTTTGAGACCAGCCTGGCCAACATAGTGAGACTCCGTCTCTATGAAAAACTCAAAAATTAGCTGGGTGTGGTGGCGGGTGCCTGTAATCCCAGCTACTCAGCAGGAAAATTGCTTGAACTCAGGAGGCGGAGGTTGCAGTGAGCTGAGATCATGTCACTGCACTCCAGCCTGGGTGACAGAGCAAGACTCCATCTTGAAAAAAAAATAAAGAAAGAAAGAATTTCCACACACATCAAGCCAGAGACAGTGTGAGAAGACTGAGCCTGGGCAGAAAAGGGCATTGTTGCTTTGGTCGTCCTTATTTCACATGGTGAGGTTCATGCTCTGTGTGTCTGTTCTCGTCCCATGAAGGTCTCTGTCGTGTCTCCAGACCACGTAAGCGACAGCACTGTCTCTGCCCGGACCTCAGACAGCAGCCTGGCACCAGTGGCCGACTTCAGTTACCCTCCAGAATCCTCCTCCTGCTTGGACAACTCTGCAGCTAAGCACAAGCTCCAGGTCAAGCCCCGCAACCAGCGGTCGAGTAAGATGAGGCGGCTTTCATCGGTAATTGGGTTTCCTTCTCCACACACAGGCAGGCCAGGCAGGCTTAACACACCCCCCGCAAACCCGCACAACCTACCTCACTCCCTCCCACAGGGTCTCGTGCCCCTCCAAGCACTCCCACAGTTGATGGAGCCATGCTGCAGAAGATGAAGTTGCTCACCATTTTAAACATAAACCAGATCTGTCTCTCCCTTGCAGAATCGCTCCATTCATTCATCCATCCATCCGTCTGTCCGTCATTCCTCACACACTCCCTACTGAATGCTGGTTGCCTTCCCCGTGCACTCAGAGTAAAGTCCACACTCCAGGCCTGGTACATCAGGTCCTGCCTACCCCTCAGGCTTCTTACCTTTCTCACTCAGCACTCTGGCCACCTTTCTGCCTCTTGAGCTCCCGAGCTGCCTCTAGCCTCAGGCCTTGGTGCTGCTGTGTCCCAGCCTTGGGGCCTGAGAGTCCCCCAGAGAAACTCACCCTGCCCGTTCACTTCCTTCAGAGCACTCGCCTCATGCCAGAGTGACCTTTGTAAATGGATGTGCTCTTATTGCCAGTCTTCTTTGAGACCCTGTCCCGGCTGCACTTTCAGCCCTTAGAACATTTTGGGTCACAGAGTTGTTGAATGACAACAGTTGTTGGACAAACGATGGAACAAATGAATGAGTGAATTAACAAATGAGTGAATGAAAGAAGCCGAAACACTAGCGTGGACACCTGCCTTGGACGAGGGCCTACTCAGTAGCATGGAGAGAAAAGACAGACCCCTCTCTGGGTGTGCTGCCTTGGGGTGTCGTTACCTCCTAGTCCTAGAAGCTGAGAAACTGGTTCATGGAACACTTGGGCTTCATTTACTGGCAGGTTCGAGGTTCACACAGGGTTGTTCCCTCTCCCCTACCTGACGGGCACTGTAACGCTTCCCCCCTGGAGTGGGGGCCAGCCTGGTCACGGAGAATGACAGTGCTGATAAAGAGATGCTCATAGGCTAACATCCTGTGTCCTTCCCTGGCGACATGATTGGGGTGTGTTGGTGAAGTACCCAGGGCAAGCTGGGTGCCTCAGCTGGAGACAGTTGGGCTAGGCCAACTCAGGAGTTCAGCAACTCCCTGAAGAGAACGAGTTTTCCTTTGGGCATATGGAAGGTGCTCTTTAAACTCATGCCAGCAGAGATGACTTTTGAGGGGACTAATGCTGGAGAAAGAAGCAAGGTGAGTTACCTTCAGGCTGATGTGCCAGCTAGGGACCAGGATACTTGTGCCATAGGTGTGTGTGTCCAGTGCATGTACAGTTAGAGGCTGTGTGCTGTGTTGGCGTGACAAGGTCCAGTCACTGAAGACCTGCCTGTCCTCGTGCTGAATGAGACCACAGGGCCAGGGCCTGCTCCCTTCTGGTCAAGTCTGTGATTTATGACTCCCATGGGGATGTCTTTTGCTCTGGCCAGGGCATTTATAGACAGCCACAACCTGCCTGGCCAGGACTTGGTGACAGAGCGAAGCCCAGTGTCTATTCCAGGTGGAAACGCAGCCTCCCTTCTTGCTCCCATCTGGGCAGGGCTGTATCCTTCTTTGTTTACATTTGAACTTGACTTAGTTCTTGAATCCCACTTTGTAGAATAACAGAAAACCTGATGTAGCCAGTCTGCGCAAACAGGTAAACACAGCCTTTCCTTGATTTCAACTCTGTCACATCCATGGTCTTTCCCTCTTTTCCCCTTCCCTACTTGGTAAGAGCAGGCATGGGTATCTTAAGTTCTCAGAGGTGTCCATATCTTCCTCCATCCACTGTTGTGGAACCTGTGATGCTGGGGGCCTCTGTCCTTCAGTGTCCATAGCACCCTTTGCCCTTTGGTCATGAGGTCCCTCTTCCCAACCATAAGGATCTTCCTTGTGGCCTGGCCCCTCTCAGGGATGAAGGTGCTTTCAGATGCTCCCTAAATGCTCCCAGGGCGGGAAAGAACAGGCATGCCACCCCCTCTGCTGCCTTGTGTGGGCTCCGTGACTGATAGTTTTAAAAGGTGACCTCCATCCTAAAGAGGTTTCAACATCAGCAGTTTCCTGTAGTAGCAGAAGGTCATCAACATGGCAAAGTAAAGGACCTGCAACTTTTGAAAGTTCTTCTGTAGCTTTCTTTGTGCCTCTTCCTCTTCTTAAATCCAGAAGAATAGGATCGTGTATTTTGGTGCGAGTTTGCTTAGGTATTGTCACAGACATCCCAGGCATCCTGTTATTCTATTAGCAAGCAGATGCCATGAAAAATGTTAAAATAATAACAAACAGCAAGAAGAAAAACCTATTGCAAACATACCCTGAGTGTCACATTTCCTGCTTTAGACAAAGGGAAGGAGAGAGCAATAGCCTGGGTGACTCTTGGTGTCTAATATCACGAACTTTCTAAAAAGATCAGTCTCTACACAATCAACCTTTTGGTCATTTCCACATGTTACTTTTGAATGGTTCTTGGTTACCTGGAGCTCCTTTCCTTCCCCGGGAGAGCAGGAACTGACTCTGTGACAAAAGGAGGAAGTTGGACTGGAATCTGAATTCTAGAGATCTTTCAGAAGAATATCACAAGGCAGCATACGTTTGCCAAGCCAGTAGGGCTTCAGGAGGTTAGAGAAGGGGGGAATCTTAAACTGCAAAGAGTGGGAGAGTTTGAAGCAGTCCTTGGGGGTCCTGGTAGTATATCTTGGAGGTTGGGGGCAGGGGGGTGGGGGAGAGTGGGGAGGCGACAGTCACTCAGACCAAGTGTCTGGCGCAGTGTTGAGGGCTTGGTTTGACCTGAGTAGGGAGTGGAAGAAACAACTTAAGACCAGAGAATCTAGGACTGTAAATTTAGCTGAAAATTTTGGTTTTATCCTATATAGCTGTGGTTAGCTATTGGCATGATACGAGCCATCTTTTAGGAAAACCAGTCTGACTTTACTATGAGGGTGCACTCCTAAAGTGTTGACATGGGAGACTGGCTGGGATGAACACAGGGCCATAGAGCCCCAGCTGTTCAGCTCCGCCACCTGCTCGGCCAGGCTTGAACAAGGTATTGGCCTCTCTGAGCTCCTGGCTCTCAAGTGCAAAAAGTGACTCATCATCCCTTCCTCACTGGGATGAATGCAGGATTAAATGAAATAACAAGTGTGGAGCACAGAGCATGGCAGACGCTGGCTGCTGTTGGTCTCCTTCCCTTGGCGTTACTCTCTAGTCCACTGGTTTTGAGGCTCTGTCAGAGGAGCTGTAGACTTTTACTTGGGAGGCATATCTGCCATTGTCCCGATACACCTGTGAGCCCAAGTAGACCAGGAGGATACAAACTGAGAAAAGACACCCGTGGGTACATGCCTGCTTAAGTGCCAACTTTAGAGTGCTTCTATCACTGCTATCACTAAGCCATTACAAGCCTTGAAGAAAGTGGGGAGCTGACAGGCTTCCTGGAATTTGCTATAGTGACGATGCTTTTTATCTTTCTTTCTCTCAGCGCGCTCAGTCTGAATCCCTGAGCGACCTGACGTGCACCCCAGAGGAGGAGGAAAACGAGGAGAAGCCACTGCTGGAAGTCAGCCCAGAAGAGAGCCCCAGCTCTGGGCAGCAGGACGTGGCGCCAGACAGAGGCCCTGAGCCTGGGCCACCGGCACCCTTGCCGCCACTCGGAGGAGTCCGTGCCAGACGCGCCCGCCTGCAGCACTGCTCGGCGCTCAGGGCCAGCTTGGAGGAGGAGGGCGCCCCCGGGGACGACCCCTCAGGCCGCCCGGCCACCCCGGAGCTCGCCGAGCCGGAGTCGGCCCCCATCCTCCGCGTGGAGCCCCCGTCCCCGCCGGAGGGGCCCCCGCATCCCGGTCCCGACGGCGGAAAGCAGGAGGGGGAGGCGCCCCCTTCAGGCCCGTGTGCCCCGGCCGCGGACACGGCGGAGGAGGTGGTCTGTGCTCCCGAAGACGTCGCGAGCCCGCTTCCCACCGCCCTCCCTGAGGGGGACACGACGCCCCCCGAGACTGACCCCACCGCCACCTCGGAGGCGTCCTCTGCTCCCGACGGGCCAGACCGCAGTGTCCCGAAGGAAGCGGAGCCGACGCCGCCCGTGCTCCCGGACGAGGAGAAGGGGCCCCCAGGGCCGGCGCCCGAGCCCGAGAGAGGAGCAGAGACCGAGCCCGAGAGAGGAGCAGAGACCGAGCCCGAGAGAGGAGCGGGGACCGAACCCGAGAGAGGGGCGGAGACCAAGCCCGAGAGGGGAGCGGAGACCGAGCCCGAGAGAGGAGCGGGGACTGAACCCGAGAGAGGAGCAGAGACCGAGCCCGAGAGAGGAGCGGGGACTGAACCCGAGAGAGGAGCAGAGACCGAGCCCGAGAGAGGAGCGGGGACCGAACCCGAGAGAGGGGCAGAGACCGAGCCCGAGAGAGGGACCGAGCCCTCCGCGGCGCCCGCCCCGAGCCCGCCGGCGCCCAAGAGCTGCCTGAAGCACCGGCCCGCGGCCGCCAGCGAGGGCCCCGCCGCGTCCCCGACGCTTGCAGCCGCGGAGTCTCCCCCGGGGGAGCACGGCCCCGGTTCCCCCGACGCAGAGGCCGCCGCCCCGGAGCGCCCCAAGGCCGAGCGGGCCGAGGCGCCACCGGCAGGCGCCGAAAAGGCGGCTCCAGAGCGGAAGGCGGAGAGGGGCGGCGCCGAGCTGCGAGGCGCGAAGAAGTTCTCGGTGTCCTCGTGCCGAGCGCGGCCTCGCCCGGGCGCCTCCCGCCCGCTGGAACGCGCCAGCTGCCGCCTTCCCCTCGCGAGGAGCAGCCCGGCCTGGAGGAGCGAGGCGGCCCTTGACGACCTCCAGGGTCTCCCCGAGCCCCAGCACGCGAAACCCGGCCCTCGGAAGCCGGCGGAGTGCGGCCCTCAGGACTCGGGGGACAGGGCGGCCAGTCCGGCCGGGCCGCGCAGGAGCCCCCAGGAGGCGGCCGCCACGCCCGGCACGAGAGAGCCCTGCCCAGCCGCCCAGGAGCCGGCCCCGAGTGAGGACAGAAACCCCTTCCCCGTCAAGCTCCGGTCCACCTCCGTCTCGCTCAAATACAGGGATGGCGCCTCCCAGGAGACGAAGGGTGTGAAGAGGTACAGTGCGGAAGTCCGGTTAGAAAGGTCGCTGACCGTGCTCCCGAAGGAGGAGAAGTGTCCCCTCGGGACGGCCCCCGCCCTTCGAGGCGCCAGGGCCCCCAGCGACCAAGGAAAGGGGAAGGCCCGGCCCCCCGAGCCGCTCAGCTCCAAGCCGCCCCTGCCCCGGAAGCCGCTTCTGCAGAGCTTCACGCTGCCGCACCAGGCCGCGCCCCCCGACACCGGCCCGGGAGAACGCGACCCCAGGAAGGAGCCCAGGACGGCGGAGAAAAGGTCGCTGCGCAGGGGAGCTGGTAAGAGCGCGTCGAGGGTGCGGGAAGGGCAGGGCCTGGGGAGATCCACATCCGCTGGCACATCTTGCTGGACACTCGCTAACTGTGTAAATGCTCCTGGTACAAACGTTGTTGCAGGGGAGTTGGAAGGAGTCAGAATTCCCACTAACATCATGTCTGATCTAGAGCAAGCTTGTCCAACTCGCTGCCTGGGCCCGGGGTGGCTTTGAATGTGGCCCAACAGGAATTGGTAAACTTTCTTAAAACATTGAGACTTTATGCGAATTTTTTTTTAAAGCTCATCAGTGGCCTTTTGTGTTGGTGTATTTTATGTGTGGCCCAAGACAATTCTTCTTCCAGTGTGGCTCAGGGAAGCCAAAAGATTGGACACCCCTAATCTAGAGTAAGGAATAGGCCGACCTCGGTAGCTCATGCCTGTAATTCCAGCACTTTGGGAGGCCAAGGCCTGCGGATAAGCCCAGGAGTTCAACACCAGCCTGGGCAACATAGCGAGACCTTGTTCTACAAAAAAATTTAAAACTAACCAAGCGTGGTGGTGCACGCCTGTAGTCCCAGCTACTTGGGAGGCTGAAATAGGATTGCTTGAGCCCAGGAGTTCAAGGCTGCAGTGAGCTCTGATGGTGCCATGCACTCCAGCCTGGATGACAGAGTGAGACCCTGTCTCTTTTAAAAAGAGAGAGAAAATAAGGAATAAAGAGTAGAAAAGGGAAAATAAATACCAGGATTTTGTATAAGTACAGGGAATTCAGTGTGTAGAGATAAAGAGAAATGTAAAAACTGATTTTGATAGGACTCTCAGTGAATCTGTCAAATTCTCCCACTTTTCACCTGAGAAACTCAGCAAGGTCCAAATCCCAGGACATGCGTACTCATTTTGATGCAGGTTCTTTCAGGGCCTAAGCTATTTCTTGGCTATAAATGAAACATACTCCTCTATCAGGGTCCTTCTGACCTTTTCCTCTAAGAAAGAATTTCCTCCTGCTGTTCATAATCAGGTTCGCGTGGCCCAGCTGCACATGGAACGTATTCCATGTATTGGAATCACAAGTCTGTATAAAATGTAAGTCTCTCTCAAGAGGGTCAGCATTTACTTGCTGTCGTGAAAGGGAGATTGTGTTAAGATTGAGGCAGAACGTAGGAATCTTTGAAGGCAGCTGTCTTTTGAAATGAGCAAAGTAGATGACCTTTCTCTGTCTTTGACGTTTGTCACTTCTTATGGAAGTGAGGAAATGAGAAATCTGTTGAAAATGTGTGTTTGCAGCAGAGCTAAAGAATCGTTCATTGCTGGGTTTTTTTGTTTGTTTGTTGTTTGTTTTGAGACTCTGTCTCACTCTGTTGCCCAGGCTGGAATGTAGTGGTACAATCTTGGCTCACTGCAACCTCCACCTCCCAGGTTCAAGTGATTCTCCTGCCTCAGCTTCCCGAGTAGCTGGGATTACAGGCGCCCATCACTGCACCTGGCTAATTTTTTTTTACAGTTTTGGTAGAGACGAGGTTTCACTATGTTGGCCAGGCTGGTTTCAAACTCCTGACCTCAAGTGATCCACCCGCCTCAGCCTCCCAAAGTGCTGGGATTACAGACGTGAGCCACCGCGCCTGGCCTGCTGGTTTTTTTTAAAATTAATGGAAATCTGTGAGCCAGAAAACGACACTACACAAATAAGTTGTGTGTGCATGTGATGAGGGCCCTAGAGAGAAGTTTTCCATGGCGAATTTTGTTTTTTAAAAATGTTTTGGCCTGGCATGGTGGCTCACACTTGTAATCCCAGCACTCTGGGAGGCTGAGGCAGGCGGATCACAAGGTCAGGAGCTTGAGACCAGCCTGGCCAACATGGTGAAACCCCATTTCTACTAAAATTACAAAAATTAGCCAGGCGTGGTGGCGCGCACCTCTAATCCCAGCTACTCAGGAGGCTGAGGCAGGACAATCACTTGAACCCTGGAGGTGGAGGTTGCAGTGAGCCGAGATCATGCCACTGCACTCCAGCCTGGGTGACAGAGAGAGACTCCATCTCAAAAAAAAAAAAAAAAATGTTTCAGGCTACTCAAGCACTGTATTGTAGGACAGAAGGGAAATAGAACCTGGTGGCTCTCTGAGGGAATCCTGTACCCTAAGAGGAAGATGCATACACAGGAAGAAAATTAGCTCATACAAAACAATGTGAAAACAGTTCCAAAATAGTCTAATCTTTTCTGGCTCTTTTACAGTACTTTAAATTGCTAAGGTGACACACAAGGATTCACAGTTCCAAAGAGCCCACACATGTGGCCTTCCCAATCTGAAGGCCCCTTGGCACAGCCGTGATTTTGAGTTGCTGCTGCCACTGCAGTAGGATAATCAGTGCGGGAATTTGGAGGAAGTTCAAGCCGTAGCTGACGATCCACTCTGCAGATTTCCATTGAGGTTATTGAAGCTATTGTAGAGTGATTAAAAAAGCCATTGAAGTAGCAAGGGAGGAAGGAGTCGCTCTCTGTGCACATGAAACCCTGACCTTCATGGCCCAGAATTGAAAATGTCTCTCAAGGGCTTGCTAAATGAATGGAACTTGAAAACAGAATATCAAGCTCATAGTCAAATCTGGGAAAGAAGCTTCAGAGGGCAATGCTTTGCCCATTATTTATATGTGAGTTCCTCAACCTAAGCCAGGTTTTCTTCACTATAAAATGCCTGGGATGGTCTGTAAAGACCTTGTGTATTTTTCTTTGATTTATAAAATGTAATAGAGTGTTTGTTTATTAACAGCTTTTCTTATGTAGTAGAAGAGAATTGTCTCGTCCATCTAAGTTTAATCACATTCACTAAAGCCATAGAAATGACAGAGTTAGATGAATTCCAAAGCGAAAGAAGAATCTAGGTTACTTTATGGGCATGAGTAATGATATTCATTTTACCACACAGAAAGGAGGGAAGGAATTACCTGCATTCTATAGGGAAGCAACTCTGGGGGCAGGGGCAGTGGTACTGGAAGGACAGGTACCAGGACAGGCTGGGCCTGCTGCCTGATCCTACCTGGACCTTGAGGGACTATCTCATGCTGACCAGAGCAGAATCTCAGGGTCTGCACTGTCAGACCCCAGTAGTGAAGCTGCCCCCACACCTTCCCCAGATACCAAATCTGTTTGTGCTTTCATTGATTATTATCACTTCTACTATTATCATTCTCATTGCTCCCAAATTATGTTAGCTAGAAGCAATTCAGTTCATATAAAACATACAGGTAATGAAAGTTTTAATAACAATACCACTCTGCTTCCAGAAAGACCTAATATTTGCTGTTGTGGTAGCAAATACCTTGCCCAGAGCTCCCGAATAGTCTGCCACCTCCCCCGTCCTCCCTCCAGGGCATGTATAGTAAAGTTGGATGATTGACATGTTCCAGATGACTCAGCTTTGGGCACTCAAGCTGCTTGGTCCCCAGCACCTGGTTTATTCCTCCTTCTCCTCTTCCACACCTTGTTTTCCTTCTTTGAAGGAATGGAGGAACACTTCAGCAGAAGGAGTAGGGAAGGATGCAGTGGTGGTTGGTTGTGGTAAACAGGAGCCTGGCTTACCGAAGGGGCTGAGCCTCACAGGGGCTGTGCTGGAGTGGTTACTGCAGTCTTAGTACATGTCTGTGCTCCTCGAGGCAGAGGAGCCCTGTTTATAGGCCTGGTTCATAATTTGCTGATCTGTCCTAGGAAGTAAATGGCCCAGGGTTATCAGCCGTGTTCATTTGTGCAGAACATTTTACATCCTCCTGTTGGTTCAATCCATCCCAGAGTCTAAATTACAGGTCATAAAGCAGCTTCTGCACACAGGATTAGAATGAGAACAAAGGAGTTAGAGAATATTGTGTGGAAAAATTGGAAAACACAGAAAGTATGTAGAAAAAAAATCACTCCTAGGTCGACTCTCCTTCTAGTCTGTCTTGTTTCTGGGTATGAGATTTATTTTTTTTACAAAGTCATGGTCACAGGTTGGTGTTTTGGAAGGTAGCGTAAGAAACCACCCTTCTCACCTGGGGACCTCATTTGATAACCGGCGTTGGCTAATCTGAGCTGGATTCCTCCAGACAGGGTTGGTGACAGAGTAACACACTCCAGTCTCTGACCCTCTTTTTCTAGACTCCAGTACTCACTCATTCATGCATTCTTGTTTTCAACAAATATTTAATGTCCTCCTGCCATGCAAGCTCTTTCTTGGCCCCAAAAGATGGGAAGAGCACAGGGGACTGACGCGCGGAGTTTATTGCGTGGAGAAGGCAGGTGGTAGCTGGATGCCGGAGGAGTGTAGACAGCCATTTTCTGGCCCACCTTGTCTTTGGATGTCACAGCCATTTTCTGAAGGAAATGAACTGAAAGAGACTGTCACCCTTTTTAAATGACACAGTTCAGATATATTCAAATTCATTTGGGTTAGAATACAAGCTGTCAAGGGTTTTGTTGGCATCCTGCTAAGAATATATTCCTATCTCTTGAATTTTCAAAATTTCATTTTATTGTGATATGAACACCTAACATGAGATCGACCCTCTTAACAAATTTTAAAATGTACAATGCAGTATTGTTGTCTATAGGTACAATGTTGTAGAGCAGATCTTTAGAACGTATTTTTCTTGACATAACTGAAACTTTATAAACATTAATGAACAGCCCCCAATTTCCCTCTCCCCCTCCCAGCTCCTAATGACCACCTTTCCACTCTTCAATTGTATGAATTTGACTGTTTTAGATTTCACATAGAAATGTGATCGTGTAATACTTGTCCTTCTGTGACTGGCTGATTTCACTTAGCATAACGTCTTCAAGGTTCATTCCTGTTGCTGCAAGTACAGAATTTCCTTCCTTTCTAAGGCTGGATAATATTCCATTGTAGGTATACACCACAGTTGCTTTATCCATTTGTTTGTCCAAACACGTTTAGGCTGTTTCCACATCTTGGCTGTTGTGAATAGTGCCTCAGTGAACAGGGAGTGTTAATATCTCCGAGATTCTGATTTCATTTCTTTTGGATATATACC